AAACTCAGTTTCTCTTCTTATCTACATTAATATTTTTATAATATACTTTACATCAACCCCCAGCTTGGAGGCTCCAGACAGCCAGTCTTTCTTCCTTTTATTCTTTGCTAAATGAATTGTTATGTACATTTTATTTTGAATATGTTCGTCCTCACATTCCGAAGATAATTTTCGGCTACAGACCCACGATACCGACCGAACCGGGAGTAGGAAGGTCCCGCTTAATATCGATTTTCAGGTTTCTAGTCTCCTGCCTCATGTGGCCACTTTGAGGGGCAGCAACTGATCATTTCGCCATGTTCTGGCCTTAATCTCGGCTGAATGGATTAATTTTTCATCTTCATGCATCACATTCCGATTTCCCGGTTTCTTTTCTCTCTTCCACCCGTCACTTCATTGCCGTCCGGCCGAGTGTGCTTGTTGCGCTGCCCACAAACGTCACAGAAAACAGGCATTTCTGTGGTCATCTGTAAAGGTCACTCGGGTTGTCAGGTCACTTTAGGGCTGGGCGCGAACTGAGCCACAAGTTGGGTCACCGGGTCACGGCCTAATTGAATGACGGACAGCCTCGGAGTTGCTCAGTCCTTTGGGCGAGCTCGCACGACAGCGACTGTGGCGTCCGATTTGCGAACTGACAACACGGAAACGATCTGCCCGTCATCCGAGTCGCACAGATTTATTGCGAAAATCACCAAAATCTACTCTGTCTGCCCAAATGTTTTCGTGATAAGCTGGCCTAATCCCGTCATCGCCTTGACAACTGAAGGATTTGGTACTCCGAGGGTCGACTTGGTCTTCTAATGTCGTGCGAAAGTGTGTCGTCTGATGGGGTTCATCTCGCCGGAAGACAACGGCGGATGTCCTGTGGTCTGCAGTTGTTGACTTTGTTCTCAAGACGGTTGGACTGAACTCCAGTGAAAAGTGGCTACCAGTTGGCAATTTTCTGCTCAAGGCACTCTAAAAAAGCATACCGATTCGCAATTTACCACCCAACAGATGCCCACACATGTCATGTGTGTATGCGTATACATGTTTCGTGTATACCGACATATGAAAATAGAATAAGCGCTGTTGAACTTTTTTTCCATTTCGAGCGAAAGTGTGCGATAAAAGATATTCGAAGAAGACGACGACGACGGATTCCTCTGAGCCAACTTCTGGTTGGCTCTACTAGAATATGTGGAGAAAATGTGGGCTTTGAGAAAGCTCTCGGTTTCTAATTGTTGAGCTCACTTCAATTTCAAAGTGAAAGTGTTTGATGAAGGGATTCGAAGGTTGATCCAACAGCAATTCAACCACCCACAGATTCCTCTCGACCAGTTGTCGATTGGCTTTATTGGAACATTCTTGGAGACTCTGTTTTCGAACCAATCTCCTTCAATTCCGGCAAAAACTTAAGGACCGATATCATCATCATTTCTACCGCCATATTCAGGTTAAAGAGTCACAAAAAATCATCTGTTTATCCATAAAATATTGTACATATATACCCTCTATCTATGCTGGGTGATGAGGCCTAAAGTGCTTGGGTTAGTTCAAGTCATATGTCAACAGGAAATGTGGACGTGTGTTGGTTTATGTGTGTTGGTGCCGTCATGTTTTTGTATACGTACGAAGCCGGAAGTGATATTTCAACGTAATTAGAACAGAACGTAACATCTGCCCTCTGAAATCAAGGTTTAATGACAGATTAAAACTTTTTTGGTATATTTTAACCATCACTCCGATTGCGCAATGTCAAGCACACGTCTGGTTGAGTCGAGATTTTAGTCTCTTTGTAAGAGAGAAACAAAGAGTGAAGGAGTTGATAATTCCATTTTTCCACAATCTTATGAGTAGACCGTATGTTTACATTGAATGTTACTCTGCCTTGTTTTGTCAAAAGGTAAGCTCATCCAATCAGAAGTGGACAGCAGTTCCGAGTCCCGCTTGGGGTGCTGATGATACCGACCCGAGCGAGGTCCAAACGACGGCCCATTCCGGCGTGGAGAAGAGTACCTTTTGGGAAAGCAAGGCCATGCGAAATGCAATGTGAACGTAAGGTCTACACATAAGATTGTGGAAAAAGTGAACTGTCAGCTTAAACGAAATGCTTAACGTTTGCGTTAAAGTTCGCTTGTCCATTCCACCCAAAAGTGCTGAAGATGTCATCTTCAGCCAAGACCGCAGTTTCAACTGCAATGCATTGCCGCATCAACCCCCTCAACGGAATTTTAACGTAAAAACGTACTGCTCGCATCATTTTGCACTACCCATTGTCGACTTTCCGGTGCCTGACAGTTATGAAATAAGTAGACAATCAGTA